GGCAGTGTGGGGGGCCCCCCACCGGCTCCTCCGCCGGGGAGAGCATCTTCCCCAGGGTCACCCTCTTCCCGTGGGCTGGTCTGAGGCTCCAGGCAAGGTTCAGGGTGGGGGTGGGCGCACAGGGTGGAGGTGAGAGCCCGCGGTGAAGAGGCGTTCTGGAGTCAGGGCAGAGAGCGCGCGGCAGGGGTGAGACCTCGCGGTCAGATGCCCCACCCCATCCCCATCCGCAGTGGGATACGGCCCCCATGACCCTCTCCCCATGACCCCACAGGGAAGGACAACTCTAAGAGGTCCTCACGGCTGCGCCCCTCCCCACGGGCTAAGCTGGGACCCTCCTGGGATGTTGAGGAGATCTGGGACCCTCCCACCCACAGACGCAACAACCTGCTTGCCCAGGGCCAGGTGTGACCTTCCCCCCAGCTGGGAGGGTCCCTGGGTGTGACCTTGGGAGGGTCCAGACCTTAAAAGCTCTGCTGGGGTGGGTGTAACCAGAGGCTGCTGGGACCACCAGCTGAGGACCAGACGCCCCCTGTCACGGGTAAACAGGCCTGGGCTCCAGGCTGGGCCTCCCCACCCGCGGTGATGCTGGGGAGGCTATCGGGGGCTTTTCCAGGGGTTTCAGGCTGCGGCGAGGGGGCTGGGGAAGAGCTTTACCCACTTGGAAATATGCTGGGCGCGCGGAGTCCGGCTTTGCCAGGGTGTTAGCAGATGCTTGTTTACCTTTTAATTTAACGTGATTTCAAGCAAAGGCGCACAGAAGCTGCAGACAGTGCGCGAGGAACGGCACGCTCCATCCAGCTTCACCAGTGCTCCATTTTGTCCCATGTGGTTTGTCACATGCATAAACTTTTATTTCTGAACCCTTAGAGAGTAAGTTGCAGGTGCCATGCCCTTGAGCCCGCACACTTCATTATTAAACCAGGGAGTTCGGCATTGTTGCAGTGATTATACCTTCGCCGAGCCCACACTCAGATGGTAACTGTCGAATAATTTCGCAGATGCGGATACGTGTCTTCCTGACCGACATCCCCTCTAGAGCCTGAGGTGCGGTCAGCTCTGTACCTCCTCGTCTCTCCACTCTGGGCCGACTCCTCCGTCTTTGTCATTCACGACCTGGACTGACGTCCTGAGAGGCCTTTGCAGAGTCTGTGTGATGCTTCCTCATGATTGGTTGAGGTCTGCATTTTTTTTTTTTTTTCGGTACGCGGGCCTCTCACTGTTGTGGCCTCTCCCGTTGCGGAGCACAGGCTCCGGACGCACAGGCTCAGCGGCCATGGCTCACGGGCCCAGCCGCTCCGCGGCATGTGGGATCTTCCCGGACCGGGGCACGAACCCGTGTCCCCTGCATCGGCAGGCGGACTCTCAACCACTGCGCCACCAGGGAAGCCCGAGGTCTGCATTTTTGAGGCTGTGTCCCCCGCGGTGCATCGTGCCTGGGGCTCATGAAGTCAGGCCGTCCTGTCTCTGGGGACACTGATGGCTTTCCCTTTGTAATTAGTAGGTAGCTTGGGGAGATAACTTGAGACCACACGGACGTCCTGCTTCACTTACCACTATGATGGCTGCATACACTGTCCTTTCCTAGACCTCTGCATTTATTCCTGAACAGAGTTTTGAGAGGACGGCTGCGCTCCTAGCAGGGAGGGTGTGGATGAGGACGCAGCGGGGAGACTGCTTAGGATTGTAGACTTGGACGCAGGCATCTGGTTCTGGATCAGCTTGCTGATGGGTGTAGGGAGGGAGGAGGGGTCCAGGATGCCGTGTGTGACGCCTGCTTGGCGAGGAGGGTAAGGGGCTGAAGAGGCCGAGGACTTGGCCCCCCAGTACTCTGTTGAATAGAAACGGTGAGTGTGGGCTTCCCTGGTGACGCAGCGGTTAAGAATCCGCCTGCCAACGCAGGGGACACGGGTTTGAGCCCTGGTCCGGGAAGATCCCACATGCCGCGGAGCAATTAAGCCTGTGCGCCACAACTACTGAGCCTGTGTGCTGCAACTACCGAAGCCCACGTGCCTAGAGCCCGTGCTCTGCAACAAGAGAAGCCACCGCAATGAGACGCCCGCGCACCGCAACGAGGAGTAGCCCCTGCTCACCACAACTAGAGAAAGCCTGTGCGCAGCAACGAAGACCCAACACAGCCAAAAGTAAATGAATAAATGAATAAATAAATAAATAAATAAATAAATAAAAGAAACGGCGAGTGTGGGCATCCCTCTCTTGTTCCTGATCTTGAAAGGAAAGGCTTTTCACTTTTCACCATCGAATTAAGTGTGGGTTTGTCACATGCAGCCTTTGTTATGTTGTGGTATAGCCCTTCCATAAGCCCAGCATTTTAAATGTGCTGTTGAATTCAGTTTGCTAATACTTTGCTGAGAATTTGTGCATCTATGTTCGTCAGGGGTATTATCAGTCTGTAATTGTCTTTTCCTGTGGCGTCCTCATCTGGCTTCGGTATCAGGATAATGCTGAATTCGGGAGTGTTCTCTCTCCTTCAGTTTCCTAGTTCTCGTCTTTGTAATAATTTTCCTGCCTATTCTTGTTTGTTTATGTTGTGCTTTTCCAAATGAACTTTAAAATCAGCTTATCAGGGGCTTCCCTGGTGGTCCTGTGGGTAAGACTCCGGGCTCCCAGTGCAGGGGGCCCGGGTTCGATCCCTGGTCAGGGAACTGGATCCCGCATGCACGCCGCAACTAAGACCCAGAGCAGCCAAATAAATAAATAAACGCTAAAAAGATAAAAATAAAAAAAAAAAATAAAATCAGCGTATCTGCCCTCTAATTCGTCTGAGCATTTTTACTGGAACTGCATTAAACTCTTAGGTCCATTTAGGAAGGATTGACAGCAGCAGTCATGTTGCATCGCTTTATCCATCCCGGTGTCAGAGGCGTTCTATTGTGGCTCTCGGGAACTTGCAGTTCTCTTGCATATTTGCTGTTAGGCTCATCCACGGGTCTTCTGTTTCTGCTGTTATGTTTGGAATGTTTTCCTGTAGCTGGATGTTTTGTATACGTTGAGGCTCCTGACATGACAATTCATGGCACTCAGCCAACTTCCTGACTTAACGGGAATCTTCCATTGCCGCCCCTCCCAAAAGGACGCCCACATGAGTGGACGTGGATGGGCTTTCTGTGGGAGGGTGGGTGTTGGTATATCAGTCATCTGTTGCTGTGCAAGACAGCACCCCAAAAGGTGGTGGCTTAAAACAGTCATAACCACTTCGTCTCACTGCCTATTACCGCACGGTGAGAGTGGTTAACTGGTGGCACAGTCTGGGGGTCTCTGTGGTGGAGCTGGGAGATGCGTCTGACTCCGGCGTCTCCCAGGAGAGCCAGGAGGAGCACGGGGTCCCTGACACGTCCCCGTATCTGCTGGTTGCACGGCCGGCCCTCCCCTTGTCCAGGCAGCTCTACAATCTAGGAGGTGAGGCTGGATGAGGTCACGGCAAGTAATGGTGGGTGATGCCTGGCACAGGCCAGACATCTTTGGTGGATTTTAGGGGGGTAGATATAACCTCAGAGTCTCCCCGGGTTAGAGGGCAGGTCCCCTCCCACCCAGGCTGGCTGGTGCCGTTGAGGAAAGGGCCCCTTCCTGGGTGGGGGCCGCCCACCAGCTCTGCTGGGAGCACCTTTCCACACGCTCTGTTTTTCTGGGTTTCTCTCCCCGCAAACCTGCAGCCCTTTTAGCAAACTGCCCAGGATCACACTCTCCCTGCCCTCCGGCGACCCCCGCGGGGCCTGACTGGAATTCTGCACGGAGACCCAGGGGCTCTCCCACCGTGGACCAGCGGAGGGATCGCGGGGCGACCCCAGGGGCGGAGAGACCGCTGTGGTCTGGGGGCGGCCCTGGTACTGGGGGAGGGGGCGGTGGAGTGGGGGGCATGAGGTAATTTCCACACTCAGACGTTTGAGTCACCCGGGGGCACAATCGCTCAGGGGAGAGTCAGCAATCTCTGGACTCTGGTCCTGAACTGGCTCCAGCCACCCCTGTTTATGGGCATCAACCCGGGCTGGGGTCGCACCGCTGGTCCCCTGCTGGAGGTGGGCTCAAGTTTTCACTTTGGAGCGGTGGGTTCTCTGACTCAGGGCTGACGCTCCATTTCCTTTTAAAACATCACCTTTGTGTCGCCGTCAGTTCCCTTGCCCGTGGGAGAGGCAGAGTGTGTCCGAGCCCCTGCCCGGTGTGCACGGCCCCTCGGTCCTCTTGTCCCAGATTTCTCATCGCAGGTGAACAGCGCAGAGAACCAGCTGAGCCTCAGATACCACCCCACAGAGCCAGGCCAGCATCAGAGACGGTATTGCCAGGGTCGCAAAGCCGCCGAGGAGCTATCTCTAGCTGGCCTGCGTGCCCAGGTGGACCTGTGTCTGGGCTGCTTCCGCTGCACCCAGTGGCTTGATGGAAAAGACTTAGCTCCTGAGCAGGCTGGAGCACAGCTGCTGCAAGATATCCTGCTGGCCCGCCTGAAGCCAGCCGCCAGGAGCAGGGTGCGGTGTGAGGCAGACCGCCTGCCCACGATCCCGCGGCTCACGCGGCCAGGTCTGCCGCTCCTGCAGCCGGGGCTCGGCTGCCGGCGCCACCACAACCAGCACCCCTTTGCCAGGAGCCCCGAGGAGGCGCTGGTCTGGACCTTTGACTGTGAGCACTGCGGCAGCCGTCTGAGGCTGAAGACCCGGGTGCGGGGCAGCGGGGCCCGGGGTGAGCTGCGCGCCTGGCTGAGGCCATCCACGCGGAGATGGGGGTCGCTTCCTCCAGCTCTGCTCTACACGCTTCCAGCGCCGTCTGCCACGCCTCAGCCCCGTGGGCTCCCGGGGCTGCTGCCCCAGGCACGGAGCCTGCCCCTCTCTCCTTTCCCTCGTGAGCACCAGGGCCGCCGGAAGCCGCAAGGTGTGGAGGTGTGGCCACGTCTCCCGCACGGCCAGCCGCTGGCCTTCCGCAAGTCTGTGGGGAGAGGGTGGCCGTGCGGGCAGGGGGCGTCCTGATGCGGGGGCAACCACCGCGCCGTGGAGATGGCCGTGTGGGGGGCTGAAGAGCTGAGTCTCCATCACAAGGAGCTGCTCACGCCGCGTGCCCTCACTGGGGACGAGCACACAGACCCCCACGGCCAGCCCGCCGGAGTCCAGCTGTGCTGCCCCACCTGCCGGGCCACCTGCGGCTCCAGGGAGGCCTTCGAGAACCGCTGCTCCTCCCTAGAGCATACACAGATGCTGGCCTTAGACATGACAGTGCCCTGGAAGCGCTGCAGCCTGCCTACTGGGCTTTCCACGCTGGAGCTCTGCCCGAGGTGAGGATGGGGCGGTGGGATGCACCCACCTTCAGCTTGAACCAGGGTTCCCTGTCCCCTCTGTGTGGCCAGCACCTCCCCAGCCTCTGAGGGGTGGGGAAGGGAGGTCTAGGGAAGCCGCCTGTGCCAGGCGCTGTCTTGCGGAATTTATTCTTGCCCCCCTCCCCCGTCCCCCAGGCCCAACCTCCGTGAGTTCGGGGACGTGTGCACCAAGGCACATTCAGAACAGGAGCTGCAGGAGTGGACCCAGCGCACCGGGATGGTGGCGTTGAGGGAGCACAGCCTGGCGGGAGGGGCTGGTGCCTTACCAGGCCCGGCCGCTGGCCGAATACCAGCGGAGCCGCAGTGAGGTCCTGGTGGTAAGTGGAGGCTGAGAGAGTGGCTGGGGGCAGGGCTGGGGCCAGGCTCCCCCGCGCAGCTGGCTGAGACCGCTGAAGGCGTATCTATGCACTGCAACCAGCCCCTGGCGCATCAGGCCCAGGAGAAGCAAACTCGGCACGCCTGGACCTTCACTATCCACTCTGAGGTGAGGGGTCAGCACGGCCAGGGGTGGGTCAGCTGGGGTCTGGGCTCTGCAGTGGCCTCTCCTGAGGCTGTGATTAGGCTGCCCTGCGGGGTGATTCTGGGGGGTGTCTGGTGCAGAGAAGGAGGGGCCAGGCTGGTCACCCTGAGGGCCCCACACAGCACCATCACCTCGCTCAGCGTCCACAGGGGCTCAGTGACCCCATTTTGCAGAGGGAGCCCCAAGGTTCAGAGGTTCAAAGAGGCCAAGGACCCTGCTGGTGTCACAGCCCGGAAGCAGGAGGGGAGGGAGCGGTCTGTGCACCACCCTGGGCCCTGATGGCTGGGACAGGGTCCAGGGGTCACCTCACCATCGTCTTCTCCCCCAGGCACCCCTGCTACACGTGGCCCTGCTCAAGCAGGCGCTGGGAGCAGACTTCTCACGGGTGGCCCCCAGCCCCTCTCTGGGCCAGGTCTTCATGCTGGGGAAGTGCTTCTGCACGCCCGGCTCCCCAGCCCAGTTCCGGGTTGGGGTGCGTGTGCAGAGCTCTTGCTTCGGCGCCGTCCAGCAGTGGGTGGTCTTCCACTTCAGCCGCTGGGCAGTGCTGCTGAGGCAGCTAGAGCTGCAGCTGGGCCAGGTGCACTCCTGGGGGCTCTGGGGGACGCCTGGCCTTCCAGAGGGGCTGGCACACTGGCAACGGCCACGTGGGGCCTGGCGTGGAGAGGACGGCCAAGCAGGCAGCCCTGATGGCCACGTACAAGGTGCCTGCTCTGGGCCTGGAGCTCTGTCCTGGCGGCCTTGACCTGGGCCCATCTCCGCCGCCAGCTATCGGCAGAGGCTGCACCAGTGTCTCTATGAGGAGGAGGCGGCTCTGAGCAACCGGTGGCCAAGTGGTAGGGGCAGGCGAGCAGGTGGGGGCGTGGAGGGGCCGGCCGGGCCGCGGCTCTGGTCAGCTGACCCGTGACCTCCCCACCAGGCTGAACCTTCAGGCCGGTATCCCTGAAGACGGCGCTGGAGACGCCAGCCCTGGGCATCCTCTTCCCACCACCGGGAGCGCTGTACGCGCAGGTGCCCATCCCCTCCCTGGTGCCAGACACGCACAAGGGCTTTCTGCTGGGCTGAGCGGTCAGCACAGCCCTCGTGGCCCCCGTGCCTGCACCTGACCTCAGGGTGCTTGAGGCGCCCGTGGAGACCCGGGCCAGCTCAGAGCGGACGCTGTGGCTGCTGCCGCCCGCCCACTACTGCGCATCCCTGGGGCTGCAGCCCGAGACCAGGCGGACCTTAGAAGTACAGTTCCAGATGGACCCGCTGGCCCTCCCCCGCTGGCACCAGGCCGTTGCCCTGTGCCCTGCCCTCCGCCCGGCAGCAGCAGGCAGAAGCTGCCCGTGGCGGTCGTCACGGGGACCAGCCCAGGGGGCACGCAGCCCACCGCCCCGCCGCTGATCTGCGGCCCCTGTGGCACGGGCGGGACCTACACACTGGCCATGGCCTCCCTGGAGGTCGCCCGCCAGCCCCACACCAAGGTGCTCATCTGTACGCACACTAACAGGTGAGCCAGAGCCACTCAGGCACGCCCACCACCTGCTCGCCGGGCCGGGCACACGCGGCTGTGATGGCCTCACCCCAGGACAAGAGGGGCACCTGGGGTCCGGGGCTCTTGCTTGTTCCTGGGGTCACTGGAGGCCTGGGCGGCTGGTTCCAGCACATCAGAGGATGGGGGCTGGGCCGGGGGGGCAGCACAGCCCCTGGGGCCGGTCCCAGTCACTCATCCTCGGGACGCCCCCGACAGTTGTCAGTGCTGGCCTGAGGACAGGGGACATCTGCGCTTCAGCCCCATTGCCCGGTCTCCATTTGGGCCGTGGGTGCCTCCACAGAGGCCCTGGGCCAGGCAGGGTGGTGGGCAGGGGTGTGGCTTGGCCCGCCCAGCATTTCCTGGGGCGAGACTTGGGTGTTTTTTGAAGAAACGGATTCTTCACTTTACTGTGAGGTTCCATTTGGCCAAAACCATCTCAGTTCTCCGACACTGGCAGCTGCTCAGGCTTAGGGTCTCCCCGTCTCTGCCCGGGGCTGAGTCCCAGCAGGCCTGGGGGCCCAGGGCTCCGAGTGGGGCAGGGCTCCAGCATGTCCTCCGGGTGTGTGGGTCCTGGGCACCTGAGGGGCTGGGGGGCGAGGCCCTGGCTGCTGCCCCCCCATGGCTCAGGGCTATCCCCAGCTGCCTGGCCCCCACTGTGCCCTTCTCTTCCTCCCTCACGTCCTCCCCCACCACCCCGATGCCCTGCTATTGCCCATTTCTCCTCAGGCTCCGACCTTCCTCTTTCTCTGGGTCTGTCCCCACTGCTGACATTTGAGCCCCGTGGGGGCCAGTGCAGGGAGGGGTCTGACTGCCTCGCTTGAATTCTGGTGTCCATTTGAATTCAGGGCTGGACGCACAGTAGGTGCTTTGGCAGACAGCTGCTGAGGCCCTCATGGCCTTTCTTCTCCCTGCCCCCCACGTGGCAGCAGACATCTATATCGCCTAGCATTTCCACAGCCATGTCAGCAGCGGTCACCCCAAGGCCACTCCACTCTGGGTGATGGACACGGGCTGCCCACTGAGCCAGACAGACGCGGCCACGCTGCGCTACTGTTGCCTGACCAAGGACTGCCGGGCCTTCCGCGTGCCGATGTGGGCTGAGCTGGAGCGACACCGCATCGTGGTCGCCACCGCGTCCCAGGCCCGCAAGCTCAGGGTGCCCGCCAGCTTCTTCTCCCACCGCGCCCCACTCCTTCTTGAGGATCATCGATGAGGCCACCCAGATGCTGGAGTGAGAGACGCTCACCCGGCTACGCTGCGCCACGCTCGGCATCTGCCTGGTCCTGGCCGGGGACCCCATGCAGGTCGCGCCCAGGCTCTCCCGCGCAGCCGGGGCCCCGTGGCGGGACCCACGCTGCCGCGCTGCCTGGCCCAGCACTGCCGGGAGGAGACGCACATGGCTGCCGAGAGGGGCCACATCACTGCACGGGAACTGCTGCTGCACCGAGGTCATCGTCAGCTTTGTCTCCCGCCACTTCTACGTGGCCAGGGGCAGCCCCATCCACGCCAGTGGCAAGATCCTGCACCACCCCCAACACTAACCTCTCACCTTCTGCCACGTGGCGGGCAGCCCGGAGCACGACATGTCTACGACAACTTGGCTGAGCACGGCCGAGGTCGTGTAGGTCATTGAGAAGGTGCAAGAGGTCTGTGACACCTGGCTCCACTGCTGGGGCGCCCAGGAGCAGAGGGCCATCTGCGCTGTGTCCCACGGTGCTCAGGTAGGCAGTGCCCAGGTAGCCCCAGCTGCCCGGGAGAGCCTCCCTCCTCCACTCCCAGTGGGGAAGCTTGGCAGAGGACAGGGCACCGCCTCCCCGCCCCATGGCCTGGTGGACCTGTGTGCCCCCAGGCTGGGCCTCCTCGGTCTCAGTTTCCTCTTCTGTACAAGGGGCTGAGGGATTCACCTCCCAGGGCGTGGGGGCCAGGATCCCGTTTTTGTCGGGGCCGCTGTCCTTTTGGGGCCCCTCACCGCACATTGAGAGCTCACCCGGGCCTGCTGACCTGGCCGTGTGTGCCCAGGTGAGCACGCTGAGGCAGGAGCTGAGGAAGAGGAACCTGGGCCAGGTCTCTGTGTGCAGCTTGGAGATCCTGCCAGGTGGGTGCTTGGTGCTGGGGAAGTGGGCACCCTCCCCCTCCCATCCCCCTCCCAGGGCACCCACCCTTCTGGGTGGTGGTGCTGACCATGGTACACGCCCACCGGAGCCTCTGCTGAGCCCGGGGGCACCTGCCCTGGAGTTCTTCACGGACGCTCCCATGCTCAACAGCGTCACCCATGCCCAGTCCCAGGTGGTGGCCGTGGGTGACGCCATGGCCCTCCGCTCCCTCGGGGCCTGCAGCCAGCTCTGGACGAGCTTCCTCGGTCCGCCCCGGGGGCCTGTCTCTGGGGCAGGTGGAGCAGAGCCTGGTCCAGAGGCAGCGCTGGGCCCAACGAGCAGAGAGCTCTGTGGCAGCGGGGGCCGGGGACCCCATCCCAGAGGAGGGGCGGGGGAGCCCTGCGCCGACAGCTCCACCCTGCAGGAGCTCCTGGATGGGACCCGGAGTGTGACCGTGGCCGTCTGGGAGGACGGGCTGCTGGACACCTTCGCCAGGCCCTTGTCCCCCTGGCCGATGCAGCAGTATGTGAACCTGCCACGGGCCACACTGCAGAACTGCTTCTCAGGCATCGCACGCGGTACCACCGCTGCACTTTGCAGCAGGAGACCTTCGAGCGGGGGACCGCCATCCCACCAGGCGATGAGCACCGCGGCCCCATCCAGGTCAAGGGCCGCCTGCACCACGGGATGGCCTTCGCGGGCGACGAGGTGCGGGTGAAGGTCCTCAGTGAGGGTTTCACAGAGCCGCTGGGCCACGTGGTGAGCGTGTTCTGGAGGGGCTGCCGCCAGCTGGCCTTTGTGTGCCGCGTGGACGAGTGGGACCCCGCGTCGTGACCCCCAGCGATGGCTCTGTGACCAAGACCTTTGTGCCTGGGCTGAAGGACCCGCTGCGGGTGCCCGTCTACCGCCTCCTGCAGGGCCATGTGCAGCACGTGGGGTAGGAGCAGGTCTCGGCGGAGGCCCGGCACCGCTGGCTCTTCTGAGCGCGTAGGCCTGTGGCGGCAGTGCTTCTACTACCTGCTGGGCGGCGTCCTGAAGGTGCTGTCCAAGGCCACCACCTGGGAGCAGAGTCTCCGAATTCCAGAGCTGGAACATGGGCTGAAGTGGGGAGCCTCATCCGACCCAGCCTTGGTCTCCGAGGCGCTGCAGAATTACCACGCGGAGCTAAGCCGGGTGCCCAGCTGCTGGGAGGAGTGCCGGAGTTTCCTGATCTTCACCGTGGACGCCCAGGGCACCTGCAACCTGGACGACGCGCCCTTAGCGTCCGGGGCCTGGGCCCCACGTACGAGGTGGCCGTGCACATCGTCGACGTGGCCAGCTGTGTGCCCAGGGATGGGGCAGTAGACGTGGAGGCCGGTAGGCGGGGCGGCGCACTCTACGCCCCTGACCGGGAGCCGGTGCACGTGCTGCCACCAGCCTCTGCCGGGAAGCGCTGAGCCTCCTGCTGGGCCGGGACCACTTGGCCACCTCCCTGTTCCTGACGGTGGAGAAGGACAGCGACCGGCTCAAGAGTCTGCCCTTTGCGCCCTCCGTGATCCGCTCTGACCACCAGCCGTCCTAAGAGGAGGCCTGCCTGGACTCCGTGGACGCCTGCATGGCAGCCGCGTGCCACTTCGCCCAGGTGCTGTGTCAGCGCCGTCTGCAGGACAGCTGCCATTACAAGCAGCGGACGAGGACAGCGCGCTCGGCTTCCGCGCGGCCCACGTCATGGGCAGGGAGTACAGGGTCTAGCTCACCAGCCTGGTGGCCGCATTCCTGGTGGATGACGAGTCCACAGCAAAGGTCACACCTGTGAGGTGGCAGCTTGCACCCAACCGCTACAGGCTCAGGGCCCTGTGGGACCGGACCCCTGCCCCGCCCACTACCACTGCCCGCAGCTGGCCGAGCACGCCCATGGCCTGGGGAGCTGCCCGGGGCTGCGGCTCATGTGGCGGCGGTGCCGCATTTACTCGGCGCAGGTGGCTGGGCCGTGCCCCCTGCTGCCTGGCACCCTGCTTGATGCCCACACACGTCCCGTGGATGCTGCCATGTAAGCTAGCGAAGGAGCAGCGCTTGCCTGAGGAAGCTGCCCGGTTCAGGAGCAGGGCGCCACGGAGCCCAGGCCTCGGGAGCCGGGTCAGGCACGCCAGAAGGAGCTGGGCAACGGGGATATGCTGCAGCTGCGGCTCAGTGCCACCCTGCAGTGTGGGCTCCTGGCGCCGGCCCTGCAGCTGTGGACCGTGGCGGCTGGCCTCAGCCTTTGACTGGAGCACGTAGATCAGCCAGGGGCCTGCTTCTCGGGCCACGTGCCCCATGTCGCGTGCAGCCTCCGCCGGCCTCAAGGACCTGGGCGTCCGGCAGATCCTCGTGGATGAGGCGGGCACGGCCACTGAGCCCAAGACCCTCATCCTGCTGGTGAGCTTCTCACAGGCTAAAGTGAGGCGAGCAGTGAGCTCGGTGCTTGGGCAGATGCCACCGGGTGTGGCCTCCCGCCCGGGGTGCAGCTTCATGGTGGGGCGGTCACGGCCGTGGGGGTCAGGACCGTGCCTGCCTGTCTCTCCAGGTGGTTCTTCTTGGGGACCACGGCAGCTGCGGCCTGTGGTCAAGAATGAGCAGCTGCAAAACCTGGGCCTGGACGGGTCTCTGTTCGAGAGGTAGCACAGGGGCGCCCTCCCACTGGACACGCGGTACTGCATGGTGAGCAGCTGGACCCTGGCTCACGTACTTGCCTTACAGCACGAGGGCGTCTGTGCTTTCCCTTCTGTGGAGTTCTACAAAAAGAAATTAAAGACGTGGCAGGGCCTGAGGCAGCCGCCCAGCATCCCGGGCCACTTGAACAAGGAGAGCTGCTCTGTCATCTTTGGCGATGTGCGGAGCCCTGAGGACAGCCTGCTGGTGTTGACGGACCAAGGGGGCAAGGATTCCAAGGCCAACAAGAGCAGGCGGCAGCTGTGGTGTCACAGCCGGGCCTTCCCTGTTCTCCTTCGCACAGGGAGGGCTCCCTGGCGGGGGAGGCAGAGGCGTCAAAGGAGCCCAGGGCGTGACAGGCACCAGGGCTGGCTTCACCCGCACCCCCTGGTCCCTCAGGTCTGCATCACCAAACAGCTGACCCTGAGAGGGACAGTGGACCCCGAGGACATCGCCATCCTCGAGCCCTACCATGCCCAGGTGTCGGAGATCAGAAAGAGACTCGAGGAAGCTGGTGTCACCGGCGTGACCGTGTGCTCCGCCACCCAGAGACAGGGTGAGGCTGGCGGCAGCAGGGGCCTCACCACGCCCCCCAGCCCCCACCAGGGAGCGAGCGGCGTGACGCCCTGGTGAGCACCGTCTGCGCCTGCCTGGAGAGCGGCCTGGACCCGTGGCACGAGGAGCTGGCTGAAAAGTTCCTGGGCCCAGGAGGCGCTCTGCATCATCGGTAAGAGCTGCTAGGTGGGGGAGGGCTGGGGCCGCTCCCCGGGGAGGAGGGGCACTCGGTGGGGGTCTCCACGGACCCTCCCCCCACTGGCAGGAGACCAGCTCCTCCCGCACTGCTGCTGCCCACTCTGGAGCGGACACCTGTGAGACCCAGCGCAGCCTGGTGCTGCCTGCCTCCTGCAGGTCCCGAGGGGCCATCGTGTCTTCCTGGAGACCCCATCCGCCCACCACCCTCAGGCTGCCAGGACAATGAGGGAGAGCCCTCTGCTGCTGCTGCCTGGGGGAGCCCCTCTCAGCAGGATCCCACGTGCTTTCAGTGCTCATTGCCGGCCACCTCCCCGCCGCCTGCACCCGCCTGACTGAGCAGGGATCACGGAGCTGGCGCGGCCAAACACAGTCACCACCTCCTTGTCTTGGCTTCTCCAGGGCTGGGAGCAGGCCAGGCCGCACCTGGTGCGCAAACTTGGGAGAAAGGAGGTAGGGTCTGTGATCCCACCCTCCCTGCTGATCTGCGGTGCTGGGACATTTGGTGACAGGGAGCATCTTGGGGGTAGGGGGGTCCTGGACCAGCACGAGACCTGGTGTCCCTGGGAAGGTTTGGGGTCAGGAAGGGAGTCGTGTCAGGGCTGCTCCTGGGTCTCTGGCCGTCCCTAACCACACGGGGTGCCGTCTGTGGGGCTCACTTCATTTTTTTTTTTTTTTTTAGTTTATTTATTTGTTTATTTTTGGCTGCGTTCGGTCTTCATTGCGGTGCTCAGGCTTTTCTCTAGTTGCGGCGAGCAGGGGCTACTCTTCATTGCGGTGCGCGGGCTTCTCATTGCGGTGGCTTCTCTTGTTGCGGAGCACGGGCTCTAGGCACGTGGGCTTCAGTAGTTGTGGCACGCAGGCTCAGTAGCTGTGGCGCACGGGCTTAGCTGCTCTGCGGCATGTGGGATCTTCCCGGACCAGGGATCGAACCCGTGTCACCTGCATTGGCAGGTGGATTCTTAACCACTGCGCCACCAGGGAAGTCCCATTTAAAAAAAAATACACCAAAAGCCAGTGTCTTTTACTGGAACAGGGTCCTCAGCCCACACTCAAGGAGGCCTCCCTGGAAAAGGTGGCCTTTTCTCTGCCACCACTGCCCCGTCTGACTCAGACCCACAGCTCTGTGTCCTTCAGGGGCTGGTGCCCTGAGAGGGGAACCAGATGACAAGACCCCTGCGGGGGTGCAGGGCTCTGATGGAGGTGCCCCAGGTGGCTGTCATGTGCTCCACCCAGATTTCTGCAGCCCCCTCACACCCTCAGGCCTGCTCCCAGGTCAGGGCCTTTGGGACAGCCTGACCGGGTGTGCATTTCTTTGCAGGATTGAGGACCTTCACCTGCCCCTCAGGGTGCATTTTTGTCCTGCCTTCTGTGGAAACCTCTGCCCCCGACCCCAGCCCTTCCCGAGGCAGCTCTGACCTTGGAAACCGCTCTCAGTGCAATTCCACTTCCCCATGGCCTCTGTGCAGTGGCGACAGCCCGGGGGGCCCTGCTCCAAAGGGCACTTCTCTTCTAGGGCAGCCACAAAGGCATGCGGAATTCTAGGGTCTCCCGGAAAAGCGCCAGAACAGAGAAGGAGCAGATGCCCCGAGGCAGGGAGCCAGGCTGTCATCAACCTGGAGTCAGGGAGGGCTTCCAGGAGGAAGAGGTGTTGAAGCCCCGGCTGGACCGCGGTCAGACAGCTGCAAGGTGGGGCCGAGGGCAGGGCGGAGGGCGGGGCCTCGTCGCAGTGAGGGCCAAGCTTTTAAGTCTCGGGCGCGATTTGAAGCCTGCGGCCGTGTGTGCCAGGCAGCGAACGAGTCCAGATGAGAGAGAGGCCAGCGAGGCATAAAGCCGCGGGCACGATGGGGTGGGGCGGACGCGGACCTGTGCCCCGGCCTCCATGGCCACACCGGGAGGGCGCTTCGGAGCCCTCCGCAGCCGGGTACCTGCGGTGGCACCGCCTTACCCGGGGAGGTCGCGAGGCGGGGCCAGGGGAGGGAAGCGCGGACTCCGAAGTTCCTCGGACGGCGTGCCAGGCCCCAGCACCCACGGGCAGCTCCCTTGGCGAGCCCTCACCCCAGCGTGCGGGTCTCTGGATCAGTGTGACCCAGCACAAACCCACATCTCTGGTCCCCTCGCCTCTCCTGCCCTTCTCCCCTCCCCAGACTTCTCTCTGCCATGCCCCAGTCTCTGCTGCTCCGGACATTTCCTTGGAGCAAAAGCACAATGGCTCCGCCCGGGACCCCTGGGAGCCGTGGGACAACTCCATCTGCAGGACATCCAGGAGGGAGCCCCTCATAGCCACGCGATGCCACAGATAGCATGACAGTGTGGCTGGACCCCCTGGGTGGCATACAGCAGCACGCAGGTGGCTGGAGAGGCCTGGGAGGGGAGCTGCAGGCTGAGACCATACCAGCCCTGCAGAGGACACTGGCCATAGCTGGGGTGCGTGGTGCTGGGCCTTTCTGACCCAGTTAAGGTCCCCGCCTCACCAAACCGCTTCTCAGTGGGGGAGGGGCCCTGTTCCTGACCCCTGGCCCTGGCCACACCTTATCTTCTCAGGGGCCTGCTGTCCTAGTGACCATCACGGTGTGCGTACGGAAAGCTGGTTGGCAGTGTACTGAGGGCGGCTCTGGCCTTTTCCCGTGGACAGTCCTCCTCGGCCGTAGCCAAGGTACACGGTGCTGTCCCTCCTGAACCTGAAGGGCCAAGCTGCTGGAGCAGGTAGACGCCGATGACTGCGTCGCCTTCAGGAAGTGAGCGGGCTGCTGGCCGAGCTGGGGGCACACTGGCGGGCAAGGACAGACTCTCTAGGTCGCCCGTCTGGGGCTGGACACCAGGAGCGGGTGGGGAGGGGCGATGGGCTGCAGGGAGGCCCCCCCCGCCAACAGGAGGTATGCATTTGTGTGGGTCTGGGGGGGTTACCCTACCAGGCTCCCTTGCTAGGACCCTAACCCACCTCGCAATGGGGGTTCTTCAGCTCCTTTTGGGGAGAAGATAGTACTTTTATTTTCATTAAAAAATAATAACAAAATGTCCTTTTGGCCTTGGGCCCCTGGCCTCGATGAAGCTGGGCTGACAGTACTGGGGCCTATCTGTGCCTGCAGGTAGTGACTGCCCCCACTGGGGTCCGCGCAGGACTTGGGGGTATTGCCCTCCCTGGAGGAGTCCCAGCGTAAGAGGCAGGAAAGGTGGCCTGAGCCTGTGCCCAGGTGTCACAGCTGGTTGTTGTGAGGGGGATGGGGGAGGGGCTGGGGCTGCCACCTGGCAGAGCCTTGGGGCAGCTCTCCTCATTGGCAGTGGCAGCTACGTGCCAGGGCTGAGGCTTCTTGCTCCAGGGGTCAGTGTCCTGGAAAGGCCAGCCTGGGGCACCCCCTGGAAAAGGAAGCAGGAGCTGGGGGGGCAGGGACTTGTGGGTGGGCTGGGCTGAGTCAGGAAAAACGCTCATGTGGCTGCCACCTCCTTTAATAAGTAAGTAGGTTTGTTTCTTCAATTGCCTATGCGTGTTTATACTCCTCTTTATTAGTGCGTAAGTATTAAAAAACCATTTCTAGGAAGGTGTGGTCAGGGCCGGGCCTAGCTTGCCCAGCCTCCGGGGGGCGGGCCCTTCAAGGGCCCTCGGCCCTGTCTGCAGGGTGAGGCTGTCCAGCCAGGGCTCGTACACCAGCGTGTAGCCCTCCACCCTCTTGATGGTGAACTCGTAGGAGCGGTTGGGCAGCAGGTTTGGGACGTCGAAGGCGTAGGCGGCCACGGGGATGATGCTATACTGCACGCGCTCCTGCTGTGTCTGTGGGTCCAGCAGCTTGTAGCGCAGCTCAAACTGCTCTGGCGCGGCCGGCTGGAGCGTGACAGACCAGCGCAGGCTGGCCCAGTCCTGGTGGGCCACTGACTCCTCGCGGTCGAACGTGACGGGCGTCTTGGCGCTCAGCGTGACCTGGAGGTTGGGGATCTTGGTGGCGTTGATGTCAGACACCAGGCGGTGTTTGATGTGCAGACGCCCTGGCACCATCGTGGCCAGGAAGCTGTCCATGACGGCCGACAGGTCTGCCAGCCGCTGCTCCACGAGCCCCCAGCCCGCCAGGAAGGGCTGAGGGTCCGGTGACTCGAGCAGGGCGTCCAGCTCAGAGCGGCCGTGGCCCAGCTGCTCCAGCAGCTCCCCTAGCAGCAGGAGCTGGATCTTGGCCTGGGTCGCGCCCACCTTCTTCATGCGCTGGAACTTCTGGGGCTCGATGAACTGGAACGTGGTGGGCAGCACCCGCGGGTTCTGGTCGCCCAGCGCCAGGTGCTTGGGGAGGATCTCGATGTAGTAGGAGCACTTCCTGAGGAGCTCCACGCGGGCGTGGTGGCGCTTAAGCAGCTGGGGGCTCAGGTCCACGGTCAGGAACTTGCGCAGAGCGTTGCGGCGCTCCGCGTAGGTCCGCCACGTCTCGGGCTCTAGCAGCTGCCGATCTCCGGCCTCCCCCACCTCCTCCTGGTCCAGGAGGCACTGAGGGCTGTCCAGCTTCATTCTGTCTGGGTCCAGGCCTGTCACCTGCAAGTTCACGGTCTGGGAGCAGCGGGTGGAGGGCCCGGTGTGAGCGGGACGGTCAGACCGGCCTCTGCCGCCCACCCAGGGGCTCACTCGGGGCAGTGTTTGTGTGGGGGTTACTTCAGGCCCACTGGCCCCCATGCTGGGCCCTCTAGCCTGCTGGGGGGCGCGGGGAGGACTTTGTGGGGAGGGCTCGTCTCTCTGGAAAGAGGCTGCTTGGAGGGCCAGGTGAGCAGGCTGCAGGTCTAGATAAAAGCGGACACCGCGGGGCCAACACGACACACTCTACTGATGGTTGTTTGTGATGACACAGGGCAGGGCTGAGACGGGGGCTCTGGGCCAGGGCGGCCCGTGCGGAAAGCCCAGCCACTGCCCAGCTTTGCGGCCGTGTCTGAAAGGGGGTCACGCTGCTCCCTGGAGCTGTAGACAGGATTCGGTGTGATCCTGTCTGAACAGCACCAGACCCCAGCTGGGGACACCACTGTCCTGCACACCTTCCACACCCCACTACAGGTGCAGAGCAGATGACTGGGGCCAAGCCCAGGAGGCAGGGTGGCTGCCGGCCTCAGCTCTGAGAAGTAAACATGCCAGTTCCTGGTTACCGAGCCCTGCTGTGTCCTGGGGCCTCAGGACCTCCATGAGCTCACTGAGTCCATGAGAAAAGCCCCTGAATGGTTATCCTGCCTCACAGATGGGGTGCCTGAAGTAGAACAGTTCGTAGCTTGCTCTCAGTCCAGGCTTCTAGCCCACCGTAGACCCCAGAGCCTGAGTGCCCTTCTGCACCCGTCCCCAACCTGGGTTCCCAGCTCTGGGTGTCTGTGGGAGGGGCCACTGCACCCCACAGCTGGGCATAGCTGTGCTCCCAGGCTGGCAGGCCCTGACCACAAGGCTGGGGCTCCTTGCAGAAGGGACCAGCATCCCCGGCTGCTGTCCCAGGTCCCAGCCACCCCCAAGGGCAGTGAGACAGACTCAGTGGCTTCAAGGGCTGGATGAAATCCAAATGGGAGTTGAGAGGCTGAGTGACTCGCCCAAGGCTGCTCTGCTAAGGGGCAGAGTGAGGTTGGGACCCAAGTTGGTCTCCCCCACCAAATGCCAGGCCTTGACCTTCCTGGGGCAGAGGTGGCAGACCCCGGTCCTGAACACTGCAGACAGGGTATCTGGGCTGAGGTGCAACTGAGGCCAGGACCCAGGACTCCTGCCCTAAGTCCTGCGGTGGCCGGAGCCTGGGGCAGATTCAAGCTGCTTCTGGAGGGAACTCTAGCTCCACACCTGGCTACAGGTCCGGGTCCGAGGTGTTTCCAGATGCCCACCGTCTCTCAGGTGGAAAAGGCAGAGGGGCTGCTGGTGAACTCCTCCAAAGAAGCCTCTGTCCTGGCCCTCCTACCCCAGACCTACACCCTCCTCGCCTCCAAGACCCCCTACAACCCCCACCCCTGGCCCCAGGCCCACTTCTCCCCAACCGACCCCCACCCGCGCCCGCCTGCCCACCTCCACCACACCACCCTAGTCCTGCATCCCCCCAGCCCGCCTCCCCGCGCCCACTTGCCTTTCGTCCTGCAGCGGGCGGAGCAGTGCTGCCGACTGTGCGCTGAGCCGGGGTGCCCAGCCTTGCGCCGCGGCGTTCCGCGGGTTGCCATGGGGACCGCGGGCCTTTGTGACGTCCCGCCCCCCGGGGGGTGGGGGCGGGGTGGGCGGAGAGCCCAGGGCGTGGGGGTCGGGCGCCCTCAACCTGAGGGGCTGCGGGCAGGTCGCGCGGGGCTCGCTCCCCGCCCCAGGACCCGACTGAAGGAACCAACGAGTCTCAGCCCCCGGGCCCGCCCCCAGGTTTCAGCTCAGACCGTCCAGAGGCTTCGCTCCCTTCCCTGGGAACGTCATGGCCTGAGCCCCGGCCGGGATGTCTCTTCAAGCCAAGGGACGCCACTTGCCTCCACCCCCTTGCAGGTCAGTGGTGGGGACCCTTCCAGGATAGGGTGTCTGTCCCTGAGCTCCCCTCCCCCCAGGGCACGCCCACCACTCCCGGTAACCTCACTCTTGGGAGGAGGCTTTGCCGGGCTAAGCGCCCATCAGATGTCCTCTGGGTCCAGGCCTGGGAGGGGGTGCGTGGGCGCCCTGGGCGCTAACTCTGTAAGTTGTAGCTGTTGTGTCGTTATTTAGGGGTCTGAAACGCAAGAGCTGGATTATTTGGAAAGGGGGTGCTATCTGAAGGTTGAGAGGGAGGCTGGCACCTGGGAAGTGGTGAGAGGAAGCCGCCTGCAGCCCTGCGGCCCACCCACAGATAGGGGCTGGGCGGCAGAGCAGTCTCCCCTCCTGCTCTGGGTCAGGCATGTCCTGGACCTCTGCCATCTCTGGCCCCACCCCTGCCAGTGGGCCTCTCTCAGCGCCTGTTCACAAGCGTCCCCTCCGTCCGGTGCGGGACCAGCAGACCGTTCGCCACTACAAGATCTGGCGGCAGGACGGCCAGTTGCACCTCAACGAGGCTGTGTCCTTCCCCAGCCTACCCAAGCTCGTGGACCACCACGAGGCCCAGAGCCTGTCCCACGGCCTGTGGCTGACCTCGCCCCGCCGAAAGGTAGGCCCCTGCCCCCAACAGGGACACAAACCCTCGGGTGGAGGTGGGTGTGGGTCCTGACTCCCTGACTGGCTGGGGGACCCCTGGGAACACTCAGCCCAGGGACTCTGGCTACGTGGGAACCGTGGTTGTACAGAGCCGGGCGCGGGGGGACGGTGGGCAGGGGACGTGTCCTCCTTTGCCCAGTCACTCTCACCCTTGGGCCAGCTAGAGGTCAGCTGTGCTCCTGCTGCGTCCTGAGTCTCTGGACTGGTGGGAGCTCGGGCCACGTGCCCAGGCGAGCTGCCAGACGGGAGTTTTGTGTGGGTGGCAGTCAGGCCAGTGTCGCTGGCCCAGAGCAGGTGCGGGGGAGGGGTGGTGGTGGCGTTTGTTTGCAGGACACAGCAGGGGTCAGCCAGGCTTGGGGCAGTCCCTGGGAGAGCCTGGCCACATGCCGGACACTGGGACCCTCCCAAGCAGGACGTGGCCCTACATTTGAGGATAGACCAGGGGCTGACTTCCCGAGGATGGGGGCCCCCCGCCCCGTGTCCCTGCAGCATGAGCTGGAGCCCCTGCCCCACTGTGACGATTGGGAGAGGCCGCGGGAAGAGTTCACGCTCTGCAGGAAGCTGGGCTTCCGGCTACTTTGGGGAGGTCTTCAAAGGGCTCTGGAAGGACAAGGTCCGAGTGGCCATCAAGGTGATCGTCCGAGGTGAGCGGGCTCCAGGCCAGGGACTTCTGGCTTTACTCACGGGGGTGGGGCAGCCCAGCAGCCCTGGGCCCTGACGCCCTGCCAACCACTTGCCGCCCTAACTTGGATCGCCTGTGGCACCTACCGCAGTGTCCGGGTGGCATTCTCCTTTCATGCTGTTATCTAAATGCATTTATCTTAAAAGGGAATTTTAAATTCTTCATATAAATGGAAGGAAATCCATTAAAATAAGTAGATCACTAGAAATCTGAAAAGGTTCATCTAAAATCTTCTTGGGACCCACCAGAGGTTGGGATCGCCCACTTCAGGAACCAGGGGCCCAGGGGTGCGAGGGAACACACTTGGGAGGGGGTGTCCCAGCTCCACAGCTGGCTCGGGCAGGCGTAAACCACATGGGGGTGTCTGTGGTCCCTGGGGTGTGGGGAGAGCAGCTGGTGGGCACAGCGGACCCTTGTGTGAACAGCGGGGGCCAGGCTGTGTCTGCCCTGGCATCCTGGCTTGGGAGCTGGGGCGTCGGGGAGGGCGCCCGCATTTCCTGCGCCGCTGCTGCGTGCGGGCGGGGGTGATGGGTGGGACAGGGGCTCAGCTCCTTCGAGGGCTGCACCCAGCAAGGCCGCCCGCCTGCCCCGACAGCCGAGCTTCTGCGTCGGCACACGTTCCAGTCGGAGATCCAGGCCATGAAGAAGCCGCGGACAAGCCCATCCTGGCACTGTGGGGGACCCTGGGTACAGCATCACAGAGCTCCTGCCCAAGGGGAGCCTGCTGGAGCTGCTGCGGGGTGGGGGGACCAGAATGCCTCGTGCCGCTGGAGGGAACGGGAAACAGGCACAGAAAGAAAAAGAAAACCCGCCCCCCCCGCCCCCCCCCCCGCCTGCATGCCATTCACCAGACAGCCTGGGATTGCTCATCAGCCTTCTCTGTTTTAAGAAAGGATTTAAAATATCTTGTGATGAATGTACCATCCGTTCATTGCAGGAATTTGACAAAATACAGATAAGAACGAAGACAAGAAAAGCCACTCATCATTCCTACACCTGCGGTGAACTGAGGCCATTTTAATCGAACGCTTGGCGTGGCCTGCCTCCCCCCCCCACTTCTGGAACACACAGGCCTGGTTCTCACTGCCGTTCTCTCTTCCTAGAAGGCGCTGTCCCTCCTTCTGGTGCTTGTCTGCTTACGCACCCACACTCGCACACACGCGCTCACACACCACGTATCCCGTTGCTGCACAGACCTCATCTGTGACAAGCCCCGGTGTTTCATTAAACACCCAAACCAGACGGTCGCAGCCAATTCGTGGAGGCGCCGTTGTATGCAGATGCAGCCCAAACTCAGAGACGCTGAAATAGGAAGAAACGTGCACCGTGGGATAAATGACACCCAGTATGCATATGTGTGTATCTGGGGGTATATTTTATTTTATTTATTTTTAACATCTTTATTGGAGTATAATTGCTTCACAGTGCTGTGTTAGTTTCTGCTGTATAACAAAGTGAATCAGCCATATGCATACATATATCCCCATATCTCCTCCTTCTTGCGTCTCCCTCCCACCCTCCCTATCTCACCCTGGGGGGTATATTTTAATACGGCAACATTTGCAGTGCTTTTCACTTGATCATTGCAAGCAGTTTCCTGTATCACTAATTGTTCATCAGAAATGAAATCCTGACGGTCTGTGCACCACCACGTGGATGTGCCACGTCCACTCAGGTGCCTGTTGAAACCTTTTGAGGTTTTTAACCGTGTAAATAATGCTGTGATGAACATCTCTGTACATACGTCTTTGCGTTCCTATTGCTTCAGTGTGGATTCCCAAAGGAAATTCCAAAGGGTATGTATGGACTGTGGTAGCTCTGATACCTAATAGCCCTCCACAAGGGCTGCAGTGGGTCCACAGTTCCAATTTTAAACCAGGCCATCTGCCCTTTGTCCCAGCCCCACCCCTGAGCGCAGGAGTCTGCAGAGAGGACTTGGCCCTGGCTGGCCCCACTCACGCTGGCCTCCCCTGGCCTCTGCAGACTCCGATGAGAAAACCCTGCCCATCTCGGAGCTGGTGGGCATTGCAGCACAGGTGGCCGAGGGCATGTGCTACCTGGAATTGCATAATTACATCCACGGCGATCTGGCCGCCAGGAACATCCTCGTGGGGGAAAACAACATCTGCAAAATCGGGGACCTGGGGCTGGGCAGGCTCATCAAGGTAGGGCCAGGGGAGGGCGGAGAGCAGAGGGTGCCGGGAGCTGGAGGTTCCCGTGGGCCTCCCGCCCTCAGGTGAGATGTGGGCTGTGGAACCCGAGCTGGGTCTTCTTTTTTTTAAAATTATTTTATTTTTGGCTGCATTGGGTCTTCGTTGCTGCAGGCAAGCTTCCTCTAGTTGGGGCGAGTGGGGGCTACTCTTCATCGCGGTGCGCGGGCTTCTCATTGTGGTGGCTTCTCTTGTTGCAGAGCACAGGCTCTAGGCGCGCAGGCTTCAGTAGTTGTGGCACGTGGGCTCAGTAGTTGTGGCTCGCGGGCTCTAGAGTGCAGGCTCAGTAATTGCGGCACATGGGCTTAGTTGCTCCGCGGCATGTGGGATCTTCCCGGACCAGTGATTGAACCCGTGTCCCCTGCATTGGCAGGCAGATTCTTAACCACTGCACCACCAGGGAAGCCCCCGGAGCTGGGTCTTAACGGGATCAGGAGGCTCCTGGGAGGGCAGTGCAGGCACTTGGCTGAGTCCAGGAGGACAGCTACACGGGGCCAGCTCGGGCGCCCAGCGGCTGGGGGCAGCGCAGCAGGGCATGGTGCGCAGGTGGCAGGGCGTGCGGGGAGCGGGCCCAACCCTCACTCGCCCTTGGCCAGTGTCCTGCTTCCATGCTCAGCCTGGCCCAGCAGGCAGGCGATACCAGCACCTCCGGGACTCTCAGTCACACGCTGAGAAATTGAGGGGTTCCTTTAATCGTGATGCCCCAGAGCTAAGTGTCAGCCATTCCAGTGTGCTCCTTGAGCGGGCCCCAGCGTCACGCCAGCTTGGCTGCTAACCCACCGCCCCTCCCGGTGTCTCCTTGCAGCTCACTTCTAGAGAAACTCTGCCCCTTGTCCTGGGAAGCTCTCTGCTGGGTTTTGCGACTATGGTCCTCTGGGGCAGGGCCTGTTGGGGCGGGTTCTGCCTGCTCAGCTCCGGCAGCACGGGTCCCAGGGAGCCCTGACGCAGTGTGGGTCCCGACTGCACACTTGCCCACCAAGCACTGGGCTCCCCGAGCCTGTCCATGCTGTGGGGAGGGAGGGTGCAGGCGGCCCCCAGGCCCGCCCCCAGCGTGTCTGATCGCAGAACGTCTACCTCTTCCATGACCACAGCATCCCTTACAAGTGGACTGCCCCCGAGGCACTCTCCCGAGGGCATTACTCCATCAAATCTGACACCTGGTCCTTCGGGGTTCTCCTCCATGAGATTTCCAGCAGGGGTCAGATGCCCTGTCCAGGTACTGGGCACCCAGTGTTGCCAACTGCGGGCAGGGCGGGAGGGAGCCGTCACCTGGACACGGCCCCTGCACCATTCACTGGGTGCCTGATGCCTTCCAGGCGTCACCGTCCAGAGGGAGGGCGTTAGAAGTGAGTGACAGGGATGCAGAGGGCGAGGGCACAGCCCAAGGCTTCCTGCGGGAGGGGGGGCGGCACTGGCCTCCCTGCCTCCACAGTCCCTCTTGTCCTGCCCGCCACAGGCATGTCCATACCTTCCTGAGGGTAGAGGCGGGCTACCGCATGCCCTGCCCCCTGGAGTGCCCACCCACCACACACACAAGCTGATGCTCTCGTGCTGGCACAGGGACCCCGAGCAGAGGCCCCACTTCAAAGGGCTGCGGGAAAAGCTCTCCAGCCTCAGAAGGTACGAGAACCTGCTCTGAGTCGGCCGCCTCCTTGCCACTGCCTGAAGGCCAGGCCAGCCCTCGTGAGGGGCCTGAGCAACCTCGGATCATGGGAATGGGCTGACCCAGATTTACTGATGATTTACTGAAGGTACCAACAGCTCCCAGAATCAACCGGACACTCCCGAGAAGGGGCTCGGGCAGCCCTGGGCCCACCTGTTGCCCAGTGCAGCCAGGAGCTGGGACTGCCCCTTCGCCTGACACCAGCTCCTGGAAAGTGCTGGGACCTCCACAGCCAACGCCTGCCCTGGGGCTCCAGGAGCCAGGTCGCCCCTCCTTCTAAGGGAGTGGACCTGTCCCTGGTCCTGACCCAAAGCCCACCAGCTGTCAGGACCAGGGCTGAGCTTCCCTGGCCGTGCGTGGTGGGGACCTAGGCTTTGGCTGCACTCCCTTTGCCCTCTGGCCTTGCCTGAGACCTGGATATAAGGGGGTGTGGACCCCCCAGTCCTCTGTGGAGACAGGGGCACTGACGCCTCTCCCCGGGGCCAGCCGCTGTTCCTATCCAGCTGCCTCGGCAAACGGCAGCTGCCCCCGGGGGGTCTGGGGGGCCACGTCTGGACACTGTGACCGAAAGGACTGGGTGGGTCAGGCTAACTGTGCCTGGACACACTGAGGGTGGGCAGGACAGAAGGTGCAGCCTTTGGGGGCCACGAGCCACCCAAATGCCTTGGGATGGACTCCCGACTCCCGTGACTTAAGAGCGGAGCTGGGGCGGGGTGGCCAGCTGAGCCCAGCCCGCTAACCAGTGGAGACCACCCCTCTAGGCCCCCGCCCTCACACCAAGCCTCTGTCCGCTCCCTCACTGAACTGCCCTCTCCTGACCCCCAGGCCCCGGTCAGTCTCTGGCGGCCAGAGGCATGTGGATGCCACCAGCCCCCCCCCCCCCCCCCCCCCCCCGGAGGCCAGCAGAGGATGGGGGCACCCCCAGCCACGCACAGAGCTCCCAAGCAGGACTCTGCCCAAAGCTGGGCTGCCCCGGGTGGGGCCCCGTAGAGCCTCCCACACCCCCTTCCCCTCACCCTTAAAGTTTTGGCTGCCGGGGGCCCTGCCCAGAGTGTGCCTTACAAGAGGCTACAGGAGACACCGCCCTTACTGGAAGGCATGTGGGAGAGAGCAGGGCGCGTGAGCTGCTCCACACCAGGTTGAGGACGGCCTCCTCGAGGGCGCCGGGCCCCGCGTCTGAGGGCTCCGGACCCAAGCCAGAGACCCTGTCTCCTGCCGCGGCAGCAGGGGCCGAGGCGGGCTTACTCAGAGGACCCCGACCTCAGTGGCTGCCCTGGGACTGCCTGCTCTCCCCGGCTCCCCAGGATAGCAAGGCACCCCACCTCTTCTCAGATACAAGGCTCCACACTCACCGGAGCTGTCTGCCCACGTGAACCGGAGCCAGATCTCAGAGGTGGCCCGCTAGGGAGGGACCCCAGGAGGGCCCAGGAAGTGAGAAGTTTGAGGGGTTGGTGACTTCTCCCGCGGGGGTGGGGGTGGCATGGAGCTCACACACACACCACGTGGCTGCTGGCTGCTTGTTTATTTTCTACTCGGTGCAAGGCACAGGTTAGAGGGCGCCGGGAAGGCTCTCATGTGGCTTGGATAGTAAAGAGTGGAGTTCTCTCAACTTCCTTTTTGGTGTTTTGCTGTTTTGCTGTTAAAAACCCAAGTGCTTGTGTTGGCTGCAGCCGATCACTCTCAGGGAGGGGAAGGAGGGGGGCTCTAATGAGAAGCCCGCCCGGCAGCTGGTGGTGGCCACTCAGGACGGGGGCCTGGAGTTGGTTTGGCCAGGCTGGCCGCCAGGCTGCTGCTTCCCCACGGCTTCCCGAGCCAGGTCACAGGTGATCATGCCGGTGGAGGCCTGGGCTGGTTCTGAGCTGGAGGAGAGCACGTGGTCAGAGGCTGCTACCACCTCCCCCCCCCACTGGCCCCCAGGAAGGTGGACTCACTGCTCTGGGGACTCCAACACTGTGGCCATGAACGGGAGGGTGGACTTCCCGAAAAAGAAGCTGGCCCACCAGTGTCCCGGGTCAGCTCTGGGGAGACCTGAGAGAAGCAAAGTGAGGTCACGGTGCTGTTGCCCACCCCCTCCAGTCAGTCCCTGGGGACAGCCAGGGGTGGACCTGCGCTCACCGGGGTGGCGGGGGATGCCTTCCCCGGGGTACTCGGCACTTCCGCAGGAGCTGTTACTGGAAGTGGAGCCCAGGCGGCCTGGAGAGAAGAGGCCAGGTCAGCTCCACAGGGCACTGAGCCCCCAGCCCACCGGACCAAGGGCTGGCTTTGCCTGCAGCACAGGGCTTTGCCTGTCAGCACAGGCAGTGCCAGGTGTCCTTAGCCGCTCACTCCCCACTCGGATACGGATTCTCAAGGAACTGGAGCTGACACCACAAGCTGGGTGGGGGAGCCCGGGTCAGACTTGGTGGGGGGCGGGCAAGGGGCTTACTTACGCCGGTAGTAGTCGTGGGTGGCCACGAGCGAGCCGCTGGAGGGGATGGCTGCCATGCTCTTGCTTATGGGCTGGTGGAAACCTGCGCACGCGGGGGTCGGGGTGCCCCTTCGGTCACCGCTGCCTCTCGCGAAGGGCACTCCCCACCCGGACCCCAGGGTCAGCCGCGTGGGTTCTCGGGAGGGGCGGACGCCAGGTTTGTTTACCGAGCCGAGGCGGGGCTCCGGAACTCCGGGACCGCCCTCTCCGCGCGGGCGGCTCTAACCAGCCCGAACAGGCCGCGCGGGACAACAAAGGCGCTTTGTGCGCGGGCCGCCGGCCTGGGGCTCCGGGAAGCGGCCCTGCCTGCAGCCGGCGCGCTCCCAGCTCCGCGCCCCGGGCCCTGCCCGCCGCCTCCTCCCCACCCGCGCCCTTCGGTCCTCCCGGATGCCGGGCGGTCCGCCCCGCCAGCCGTCGCTCCTATTCGGGCCGCTAGACCCCACCCACGCGCCGCCCGGGCCCTCACCTCGGCGGCGACCCCTCGCGGGCCTCGGCGCTCGATCACGGACGGCGGGAACCGGGGCGCTAGGCCACTGAGCCCATCAGCACAGGAGACCGCAACCGACGACTCCACGACCCAGACGCGCCGGGCGCGCACGCGCGGACGCGCCTCCTTATATGGCGGCCCCGCCCCGCGCCCTGCGAGCCCCGCCCCGATCCCGGCCCCGCCCCAGCCCCGGCGAGGCCACGCCCCTGATAGGCTCCAGTCCCGCCCAGGACCCCTGCGAGGCCTACTAGGCCCCGCCCCAAGCTCAGCTTGGCCCCGCCCCGCCCCGCCCTGCCCCGCCCCCGTGGCCTGGCCCTAGCTGGCCGACCTTGGAGGAAGTCGAGCCCTGCAGCGTCCGTCTGACCTGGGTTTCCCGGGCAGCGCATCCCGGCCTGGCCTGGGCTTGGGGTGGTTAAATAACCGCTGTCGCAGTCCTAGAGCAGGGCCTGTCTCCCTCCCACCTCTCGTCCCACTTTCCCGGGCCCTGGCCAACCTTTTGGACCCAGGCCTGATGCTGGTCCAGCCTGTCTCCACCTTTCCAGCTCGGTGGAGGCCGGGGGGGGGGGGGTGCCGGACGGTGGCCCCTGCACTTCCGGTCTGTTTCTGCCGCTGACCCCAGTCCTGGGCTGAGCCCCACAGGCCCAGCCCTCACAGTGCCCCTCTGCTCTGGCCTTCTCTGCTCAGGATGGGGCACTCCCCACTCTCACCCATACTGGGGGGACATCTGCTCAACCAGACGTGGGCCCCCGCCAGCGGGTGCCCTCCCCCAGCTGTCGGCCTGGGTGCCACCCAGAAGGAGCTGTGTGCCTCTAGCTTTCCAGCCCTTCAGGGACCTCATTGCAGGTGGGAAGCTGGGGAGCCCACCCATGTCTCCCTCACAGCTCTGGGGGCTCTGGAACCCGCTCCCCGTTCTCAGCGCCAGCTTGCGTCCAGCTGCTTGCAAGGCATGGGTGGGGGAGGAGGGAGAGAGGAAAGGAGGGCAGGCAGAGGGGGAAGCTTATGTCAGTGGGTGGGGTAAAGACCTCTGTTTGGGGATGTCACCAGTAGCTGGAGGCGAGGCCCCCAGTTATGGGCAGCCCCAGAATGTTCCGTGCAGGGTCTGGGCCCTGCCACACCCTGGCTCTTCAACTGGGAGGAGGACTTCCTTTCCAATGTGGAAATCGGCCTTCCCCCCACCCCACCCCGACCCCCAGCCTCCCTCTGTAGGGAGGGGAAGTCCCCCTGTCCTCTCCCTGGCTCTTTGGCACTAGGCCCTGGCTGGGCAGTCTCGCCCCTGCTGGCTGGGAGGGTCTCAGGAGATCTGTGGTGGCTTCGGTGGGGGGCCATCAGGAAGATCCCATAACCCCCTGGGCTGGGCCCTCTATATCCTCACACCCCCTCAAGGACCCCTCCAGGATTCCTGAGCCTCAGTCCAACTTCTCACTCAGGAGATGGAGAAACTGAGGCCCCAGGAGGGGAGCGGCCTTGCTGCCCCTGGATGTAACCCTTTATTGGGCTGTGTGGGGGTCAAAGCTGCTGACCTCCTAACTGCGACCTGGCTTGGGTTGCAGTGTGGCCAGGGGACCCTGGAGGAGGTGCAGCTACCTGGCCCAGGTGACTCTCATTCCTTCTCGGCCTTCCCCGTCTCTTCCTGGTGTCCCCATGGACTGGGCCCCTGCTGGTCACTGGGAAAAGGACGGTTCCAGCGTCTCTCCCTGCCACCCATCCAGCCACATCTTTCATGGGCTTCCAAGATAACCGTGGTTCACAGCGAGGGTCAGCTGGATTGCTCATAGCCGTGAGACAAGACCCTGAAGGAGGGACGCGTGGCCCCCCAAGCCCTCACCCCAAACTCCCTTCACAGCCAGAGACCTTTGCTTCCCAGGGTCACCACAGGCACGGCCTGGCCGTCTTCCTGCCCTCCTCCAGGGCGTTAATTCTGGATGGTGACTTTACTGAAAATCAAATTTAATTCTTAAGGGTCATTTGCCATCCCCCACTCCTCCCATGCTCACCAAACCCTGAGCCTGGTCGTGGATCAAATGTACCAGGGCCCTGTTGCTGGGTTATTGGCCACTTGGGTCCATGTGGGCTCTGGCCATCAGCTCTGCTCAGGGCCTCACAGAGCTGCCCACTGTGTGGGGCAGCCTCTCCCCTCTGGTCTCAGCTCTGCTGCCAGCCCCTGACCACGTGTTTGCCTGGGATGGGCAGCAGAGCGCCCTCACCCCAGCCCACCGACTTGCCCGGTTGCACGTGTCTACCCCTCCTGCCCTCCCCTGAGACACACCACCGGTTGGAAGCTGGCAGCATCGGGGCCGTCCCCAAGTGGGGGGCAGCCCCCCGTGAGCTCGAAGCATGATTGGATTGGGTGTTGTGTGGTTTGCGAAGGTGGCGGGTGCCAGCTCTGGCTGCGTGCTGGGGAAACTGAGGACAAGGGCACCGCCTTCGTGGGTTTGTGGTAGGGACACAGGAGCCAGGCAGGGGCGCTGACAGGGGTCTCTGAGTGAGACGGGGGCCCTGACTGGACCGTGTGCTGTTCTGTTCACCCAGTGCTTGGGTTGGCTGAGCACCTACTGTGTGCAAATGGCTCGGCCGGGCATGGGGAGTGGTGGTGAGTCAGGTAGGCGCCCCTTCCAGCAGAGGGGCAGGCCTAGAAGGAGGGTCCCCACTCGGTGAGGGGGGACAGGAGAGGGGTTGTCAGGCTTCAGCTGAGGGGGAGCTGGGGAGGGCCCAGTGCTCAGAGCTGCCGGGCAAGAGCAGGGGGGCTGCTGGCCTTGGACGGGGTGGGGGGCCAGTGGCAGGACCTGCAGTGGGAGAGACAGCCAGGCCTGAGGGCTCACTGACAGGGCAGATTGGTCAGTGCAGTTGACACCAGGAGGATGGAATGTTCCAGCAAGACGCAGGCTTGTCTTGCTCTGAAGGACCCTCAGCCACAGGGCTCTCTGCCCTTTCTGTGAACTCCCGTGTCCCTGTGGTCAGCGGCTGAGTGTGTGGGCATCTCGTAGGGTGCCCCTCATGCATGCCTCCAACAGGACTGGGGTGCCAGGACCCAAAGCTGGGGAGGCCAGCATGAGGGGCCTGCCCAGGGCCATGGACAGCTCATATGGTCAGGAGGGGGGTAGGGTTTGGCGAGGTGACCTGTCCAAATCCTGAACCTGGTGGTCACTCAGGAGGGGACACAGCTGGGGGAATGAGGGTTGGTGCCATTCCGGGGGCCCAGGAGGCACGCCGAGTACTCCCGGGGGAGGGGGGAGCAGCAGTGTGAGAAGTGGGAGGCCAGATGGATTGGGACCCCTGGGGTAGAGCCATCCCATGGCAGGGTCTGAGCAGAGAGAGCTGAGACTTGGGGGCTGCTCTGGAGAACAGGGTCAGCTTAGGGGCAGGAGGGCCACCAGGGCTTCTGCTGGGAGGGGCTCGGGGAGGGAGGCTGGTGCTGGCCTTGCTGCTGTGGCTTCCAGCCATCCAGAGCCATGGGTAACCCACCGGTGAGGCAGGCAGTGCAAGACCAGGTGTGCCAGGGGTGGTGAGCAGTAGCCCCTGCCCTCTCCAGGCTCAGTCCCCAGAGGCTGAGGACGTGCTGTCTCAGCACTAGTGCAGGGAGGTGCAAAGGCCCTGGGGCTGGAGAGAGCCGTGGTGCACTGGGCTGTGGGTATGGGGAGGTTGAAGTCAGGTTCTACCTCCTGGAGGGGAGCAGAAGATGAGATGTCCCAGGGGCTCCCCAGGGGATGGGGTGGGGGAGAGCATGTGGCACCTTTGTCACTGTGCCGACCTCACAGCCTGGGCCATCCCGCCCCCGGGGCCTCCGCAGCCTCTCCTCCACCCGGCTCACAAACAGTGCCGGGCCCCTGGGACGGCCCCGACACAGCCACACCCCCATCGTTCCCCGTGGGGCCCAAGCTGCTGCCTCCCTGGGGCTCCCTGGGCCTGGCTCAGGCCTGGGCAGCTGGGGAGGAGGGTTCGGGGAGGGGGGACAAGTACCGGGAGGGGTTCTCTGGCTGCCCCCTGCCCAGCTCGGAGCTGAGACTTCCTGGGGGCTGTTGCTCCCTCTTCCACATTCAGAGCTTGGTGGCCCTCAACTCTGTTCCATTCTCTCCACCCAGGTTCTCTGGCTTCGGCCAGCAGGGCCCTCCTTAGCCTGACCAGGCCACGTGACCCCCTCGCTGGGCAGAGCCTGTGAAGCCTGTGCCTCCGGGGCTGAGGGCGAGGCCAGCCGTGCCCTGGGGTCACCCTTGGCCGCCGGGGTTTGGGACCCCGGGCCGGCCGGGCACGCAGCTGTGAGCCGCTGTGGCCACTTCCCGTCTGGGATTCCCTCCTGTAGAAGTGTCTTGGGAACAGGCAGAGGTTGGGGTGCAGGATGTGTGTTGGTGACCTGCAACTGTGGGGGGAGCCGGGAGGACGCAGGACTGGGCGAGAGGTGGTGTCAGCTCAGGTGGCTGCCCAGTGGGGCTGCGGCGGTCCCATGGGGAGCCCTGGAGCGAGGAGAGACTGTCAGGGTGACCTGCGTCAGGCCCCAGGCAGCCAGCGGGGGAAGTGAGCCTGGGGGTGTGGCGGCTCTGCGGCCCAGGCCGACCCTGAAGGAGGGGCGGTGGGGGCCGTGTGCTGACCGCTCCTGGCCGGGCGGGGAGGCCTTCCCTGAAGGAGTCCTGGTAGCGGCGTCTCCCACCTCCCCAGGCCACCCTCCGGCAGCCTGCCGGGCCAGCCTGCCCCTGTCCGCCTCACTCCCAACCTCACCAGCGACTTCAAGATCAGATAATCCAAAAAGAGGGTTTGTTTTGTTTGTTTTTTTAAAAGCGAACGTGTAAAGGCTGCATTTACTAAGCCAGGAAGGTGGGGCTCTGCCAGTCACTCCCCACAGCTGGCGTCGGGGACCCGGAGCAGATGGGGGCACGTCCTGGTTAGAACGGGGAAAGAGGTGAGGGGTCTCGGCCTCCATCTGGTCTACCCCAGCCCATGCGTAGATGGCACGGGATGACCCCCAGAGGGCCTGCACCCCCGTCTGGTGTCCTCAGAGGCGCTGGGTCCACCTCAGGGCCCTTGTCTTGCTGGCCACCCCCGGGTGCGGCTCCAGCCTTGGGGAAACACAGGCTCGTGCAAGTTCCCAAACCCCAGCGGCCAATGGTGACCCGCGAGGCCTGGGCAGGGGCTGCTCCGTCTTTAGGGTGGGTGGT